ATTATTTTGGAATCCACTTGTCTTGCCCCACCCTGATGCTTTCCCAATTTCTCACCCGCCACCTCATGCCAAAGTTTAGAACTGGTCTGCCCAACCAAATACTTCTCCATGTATAGGAAGGTGATCTCCCTAGGTTTGCATCAAGAAAGTTAGTACTGTGAAAATACCTGGCTTTTAAAATCTTGTGAACTAATGAAGAAGGATTTCGCATAAGTCGCCAACCTTGTTTCGCAGTAAGGGCTTCCTTTTCCTTTCTTATACACAAATTCCTCCACTCATCCAATGGATTCCTCTTTTCTCGATGGAATGACGCTTTTCTCCATGGAATGACGCCTCCAATATCTGCTTATAATCATGTTGATCTCATGGCATAAACTCTTCGGGAAAGGAAAGCATGACATAGCATACAAGGACATCGATTGTAGCACTGCTTTTATGAACACTTATTTTCCTCCAGTTGATAACCATCTGTGACTCCATTGTTTTATTCTTTGTCCATTTTCTCCAAAATCTCCTTGAACACTTTTTTTTTTCTCAATTAGCATCAGTGATTAAATTCTATTCTTAAATGCAATATTAAATTTAATATTCAATAATTAAATATTTAATTTTATATAGTTTCATATTTAATATTAAATTAATTAACTAATTAACATTATATAATATTTTATATTATATAATATTTAATACATAGTATTATCTAATATTTAATATTAAACTAATTTAATATATAAATATTATTAAATATTATAATTTTTATTGTTAAAATATATAATATTATTCACTTATAAAAGTGCCAGAAACAGAAATATGTTTCTAAAAACATTAAAAATAAAAGATTCTGGCTTCCAACAATTTAAAAAATTTTTGTTTTCATTTCGTTTTTTTTTTTTAAATGTTACCAAACATGTTTTCTAATATTATTTGCAGAAAAACTGAAAACAAAAAACAGAAAATAAAAGTGGTATCAAATGACCTCTATTGAACTAAATTTCATTTGTAATATTACTTGACTCAGGTTGAAATTATATAATATTATTATTTTTATTTATATAAATTTATATTAGATATAAGATAAATATATATAATATTATTTTGTAAAAATTAAAAAAATATATATTAAGCTATCTATGTTTTGAACCTTAATAAAAGAAAAGACAAAAAAACCAAAGATTAATTATAAAAATACCATGTTTTTATGTTAAAAAAACTTATTTAAATGGGTATGAACTGTATTTATTAATTGGTTGGATTTAGAGAAAATTTAATATCCGAATTATTGGTTGAATTGGACTTAATAAGCACGTAAGATATTGAATACATGTTTAAACTCAATTCAACCTGCTTATGGACACCTCTAATTTGAAGTTTCCATGGCACAAGTAGATAGATGAAAATAAATGGCTAGAAAAGACCAATCAAAAGGTACCCTATCTATACCAAATTTTCAGTTTCGAAGGTATGAAAAATTAAGAATGAGTTCAACTTTGGATTAATAGATAAAAGCTATGATGTGTAATAGTTCGGTGGAAATTATTGATTATTAGCTGCTAGAAATAACATATATTCTTTTTTTAATAATTAAAGTTATCAAAAATTAAATGCCTATCTACAAAGTATCATATATTCATCAATTATTGAACCTTGAATATAAATGATTGAGACTTTGTATTATGAACAAAACTTGAACTGAAGGAGTTAGACTTGTTTCCGCCATTTGCAAATTAAAGTATTAATATTCTTTGTGATATATATATATATTTATTTATATGGGAAGTTGTTTTATTTTAATTTTTACTTGTAATATGTAATTTTATAAAACAAAATTTCCATTGTATAGTAATAATCTATGATTTGTGAAAAAATTTTGTCCATAATTTTATTGAGAGTTTAAAGAATTTTACAAGATCCAAAAAAAAGAACTGGTAAAAAAAAAAAAAGAATTCAAGACTTTTAAACTTTGCTTTTCCCAAAAAAAAAAAAAAAAGGCCGGACACCACCCCGGCGAAGGCTAAGGAAAGATAATCGGGAGTTGGCCACTCAAGGGCTTCTTTTGTAAGAAATGATGAGCCACACGACAGATCTACGGTGACGTATGGCTATTATATTCGTTAAGGAACTTCCACAAAGCCCAAAGCCTGTCTTTGCAGAACCATCAGTGCGGACTTAAATTAGAACCGAGCCAACATCCTTCTAAAGATTTAGCCGTGCCCCCCAATAGTGTTCTGTGTTTAGCTTCTCAGCCAAACCAATGCTCTGCGGCTTGAGCAAGGAGCTCGCACCACCGAACTCGGGCAAACCTTCAGCATTACGAAATTAATTATATACTATATTAAGTTAATTGAAGTTTTCGATGTGGGATTTATTAATTAATCCTAAAGAAAGCAAAGGTTGCCATTAAAGCAACGAAAGACCGTGATGGAGGGAGGAAGAAGTAGGAGAGAGAACGAAAGGTACAGGGCCCGGAAGAGAGAGCAAACGTTTATACGTCATAGTATTTGATCTTATTTTTTTAAAATTCTATTGTATAGCCTAATTTTACTTTTTTAATAACAATAAAAGCAATTATTTTTCAGTTTGTCCATGAAAATTTTTAATTTCAATGTAAAAATGTTGCTTTTTCTGCAAAAATTACATAATAAAGGGTCAAATAAAACATAATATAAGATGGATTTGAGTAATTTCATATATGTCATAGTGTGTATATTAACAAAAGAACAAAAAAAAATCCTTTAATAAATATAAAGATAATCAATACATTAATCTTATGTATTAAAAAAACTAACTTAATTAGTGAAATTACATAAAAATATGTAAAAATTTAATATTATATTAATATTTATGTCAATTACAAACTAAAATTTGAATTCAATTATAATATCATACAAGTATTTGACTTAATATTATATGCATATAGGTGTATAAAATGAATTAAGTTGTAAGCTATTTGGATTTGGCTCATTTCAATTATAAAGTGTTGGGCTCCGCTTAAGAAAGAGCTTATTTATTGGAAAAGCAAAGTTAGGAGTTTAGCTTCTTGAGTAATGTGAAGTTAGAATTTACATTTTAAAATACTTGATTTAAGTAATTCGTAAGTTTTATAAAATTTTTAATTTTTAATATTTTATATATGATATATAAATAAAAGACAAGAGATTAAGTAATATAAAAAAATTTTAATTTTTTTAATAATTGATTTTAATAATTTTAAAGAATGAGATTACGTCCTTATTTCTCTTTTTTATTTGTTTCTTTTATTTTTTGAATATATTAAAATCAATAATTAAAAAATGTAAAATTTATTAATTTTATATTGATATATGATGATCCTTTTCTATCTACAGCAATATGGCTCAGCCCCTGTAATTGTATTCGAATATCATCTTTAATTCGATTTTGCAGCTGTGTTGCTGTCTCTTCTTATTGTTTGAATATTTTGGAGTTACTTTCCTTCCATATATGGTATATATAGGCATTCCATGCTAGTCTCAAGATGATAGATATCAATGCTTTCCCTTTAAATCTATTTGTTGCCCAGTTTAATTCTAAGCCCCAATTCTCCACTACTCTATGAATTCTACATGATTGAAGCAACTGCTGCCAGACTTCCTTTGCGTATAAATAGCTAAAGAATATATGATCCCTTGTCTTTGCTTCAGTCTTGTATAACCCACACTTGTCATTAGTCTCTATTCCCCAGGCTCTCAGCCTATCTTTGGTTGGTTGTCAATTCAGTGTAACCATCTAAGAGATTAATGAGTGCTTAGGAATATGGTGTGTGAACCATATTAGCCTGTGCCATCTGACCTTTTCTTGCTTAGGTCTAAAGATCTTCCATGTCTTGTTTTGCAGTAAGGGCCTTGTTGAACAGTTCCATGTCTTTAAAACCCATACCTCCCTCTTTCTTTCTTATACACAATTTCCTCCAAATCATTCAGTGGATTCCTCTTTTCTCCGTAGAATGCCGCCACCAATATCTGCCTATAATCATGTTGATTTAATGGCATAAACTCTTCGGGAACAGAAAGCATGACATAGCATATAAGGACATTGATTGTAGCACTGCTTTTATGAACATTTCTTTTCCTAACTTACAAAACTTGATCATATATAGAATTCTATGAGAAAAAAAATAAAAAACACAAAATGATATGTGAGAAAAGTTAAAATAAAAAAAAAATGTAAAGTGAAATTTTATTTAATAATTATAACAATATTTAAAAAATATTTACTTGCATTAGTGTAAAATTTTATATTATTAATCTTATTTAGTTTTAAATTTAAATTAGAACTCAAGCGTGATTTAAAATTTTAGGTTTTTTATTTAAATTAATAATCGAGCTAAGATCAAAACAATTCAACTATTTTTTAGCAGCATGAAAAAATAAAACTTAATCAACTTTGAGCATTTCAATAGGATCTAACTTCAGTTGATGTTCAATCAACTTTACTTGATTTGAATATCTTAAATCTATGCATGTGTTTCTTGCTCAAAAATGGGATTTGAATTTTTCATTGCAATTTTAGTAAGTAATTTATCATTTAGACTTTTTAAATAATAAATTTTGAAATAAATTCAAAAATAAAAACGAGAAAATTGCCGATTTTCTGATAATATAAAAAAGAAAAGAAATTGAAATTGAAAGAAATGGAGATTAATTATGCATTTAAAAATAAAAATAAAATTTCTTTTGATAAAAAAATTAAAATTTTAAAATGAAAAGAACAAGTCAGAAACTCAATTTCGAAAATTCAGTTCGTGTCAAACACGCGTTCTTTTTTCCCTTGTACACGCGCTCTGCGTTTTAAACTGCGGGATTTGAGTGAAAATCCAAAAATCTCTGTGTAACGGTCTCTTCTCACAAAAACGAATTTTTAACGTACCAAAAATAGTTGAAACAAACCCTCCATCTTCCTCTTCTTTACCACAACTGCTTCTCAGTTGAAATTCAAAACTTTCGCCAAAAAAAAAAAAGAAAAAAACTCTAAGCTTAAAATTTTTTAAGTTGGGTTGATTATGGAAAGCTATGAGGAGAACAATAAGAGCAATCGTGGCTGTAACTTGCGGGTTTTGAATTTGCTGGACCGGCGGCGTTTAGCTCCTCTGAGTTTTAATAGGGCCGGAAGCCGTGGCGCCAATGTAAGTGACGAGCTCGATGCTATCGTTGCTAGAAATTTGTTGTATCGGAAGCTTCCTCAACAGCATCTCCTTAATCTCTCTGTTCTAAAGCTCGACGGTTCTCTCTTTGGTAAAACTCCATCGATTCTCACTCAACTTTTTGTCTCTTTTTGCTCTTTTCTTTTTTGTTTCATGGTTATTATTATTATTATTTAATGATACAAAAAAAAAATTAAAATGGATATGTAAAGGTAAAATCGATCATTTTGATGAAATTTTCCTTTTTACTTGATTTTCTTTTCTTTTCTTAGCTTTTTGCATCTTGAAAGTAAACTAAAAACAAAAAGAGATAAATTGATTAAAAGTGTAATTTGTTTTTATTTTTTAATTTAATTTAATTTTATAGTACCACTTTAACAATGTTACAAGATATGTTAGATACTGTGATAATGTCATTTGATCTCTGATAAATGATGTGGTATTGTAATGTCAATATACAGATTAAGGTTAAGTGATAAAAAAAATAATATTATAAATATTAGTAATTAAATGGTAGCTTTCCCAATATGATTATCAAAATAAAAATCATTTAAAGTTGATTGACTAAACATGTAATTTACCCAAAGAATTAATCAATTTATTATTATTGCTTAAGGTCTATACTATTGTAGTAAAATAAGATAAAAATTTAAAAGTGCTTTTAAGTTTTAACAAGCCAAAAACTACTAAATAATTAGAATTAGTTTATGAAAATTAAAAATATTTGAATTAGCGCAAAATGGTTCTGTTTAGTATTCCTGATCGAGGTTTTTGGATTATGCAGATGTTAATGTAGGAAGGAAAGCTACAGTTGTAGAGCTGAAGGCAACAATAGAGGATCTTTTTGCATCATTGCCAGGGGAAACTCATGGCAGTATTTCATGGTATTAACTCACTATAACTACTAATGGCAGATTGCTATTCCTTCTGATTGATTAAATGTTTTTGTTATGTGGGTGGATCAATAAATGTGATTTATAATTTTATAATTACTTTGAACTTGATTTTTTTCTTTTTGTTAGGTCACATGTTTGGGGGCACTTTTGCTTGTCTTTTGAAGGTCAGAAGCTGGTTAACAACAAGGCTTGCATTAGAAATTTTGGGATCAGAGATGGTGATCAGGTTTTGTTTCATACTTAGCAGATGATAATATTCTATAGTATTTGATAATTGCCACTATTTTTTTATTGAGTTTTCGTCTGAGTATTAATAGATGCATTATCTTTTTTATTTTTCTTGAGTTCAAGCTTTATGTGATGTTTGTTTTTCTGGTGCATACAGCTTAAATTTATAAGACACATGTCTGTCAACCAATCACCTATAAGAAGACGTTTAAAACACCATTGTGTTCCCTACAAATGGTACTCACTACTCCGTCCAAAACTCTGCATTATTCTTTTAACTTTACTAGTATTTGGTAATGAAGATGCTGTCGAAAGAGCCAGGTGATGTTTTAGACTTTAGGTGACATATGTTTGCTTTCTGGTTCTTTTCTTAAATTTAAAATCTTCTTACTTCATTTGTTGGCTGGGATCAAATTTGTACAGAGGATGTGGAAAAGTAATTTCCCATGAATTTGTTAAACTTACATAAATAAATTTGCTTGAATCGGTCCAGAAAAAGGATATACCGGACAAAACTCAAGAGTCAAGAACCCTTGCCGCCTAGTAAAAAGATCTTCTACTTCAATTCATTTTTCCTTGTGCTTACTAAGAAGTAGAACTAATTGCTCTTGCTTATAGCTTGCCATCAGGATCAAGTTATCATCAAGAGAAACAGCAGAATGCTGTGAATTACAATGACGAGGATGAAATCCAAGAGTATAACCCATCTGCCATCATTACGAAGAGGAGGAGGAAATTCATCTTCCAGAGTTCAAGTTAGCCCATTTCTTGAGAGGATGGCTCTCATACACCAGATTGTGGGGTCTTTCTAGAAAGGGATCAGAGGGCCGGCATCATCCTCCAAGACTCTCCCTGCAATGCTGATCCACAATGATTGCCTAAAATGGTGATGGCTTCCGCACTGCATTGTGCCATTGGTCTGAAATTTTGTTTCTTGATGTTCTGTATCAGACAATCTTGATGCCATTAGAGTCAATCACTGATCAGGATTAGTTTAATATAAATGGCTTTCAAGCTGTTCTATATTAATTTTATCATAATGGTAGTCGATTTTGACTTTTTGGTCTGTAAAAGACCTTAATCGATTAAGATCAAATTAATCTACATCATTCAAATATTCTTTCCATAGCAGTGCACCGTCTATTAGGAATTGGATTACTGCTAACAACTTTCAAAAAAGACTTTCTTAGAAGATTTTTGCAATCTGTTACAATATCTGAGCCCATAACCAAGCTATAGTTATATAATGTACTCTGGACCAATCATACTCAAGAACGTACATATTTCTCCGCCTTGTGCTCTCCTCTTTACCAAGAGGGAATAAAAACCATATGTTCATTTTGGTGCATGAAGTCACTGAAAGTGGGGTGATGAGCTAAATCACGTTGTACTGATCTAGATTGAGACATCTAATAAGAGGCCCACCATTACTTTGAAGTTCTCAACATTCTTGAGTATGAATCTCATTATTCTGATAAATTTTCTCAACTGGAATGATCGGATGCCTCCTTACTATAGATCCAATCTCCCCTTAATTTCTTTCTTTCCTTTTTTTTTAAGACAATATTTTTAGTACAAGCAGCAGTAAGCATCTTTCATTTTATAGCAAATTCACCTTAGCTCACTTAATCAGGAAAGGAACGTTTTCTTGTCAACTTAGGTTTAGGTTTCAATTGTGGGGAACATTTAGAAAGTAAAATTTTAATTGTATCAAATCAATGTAGAGAATATATTCTTAAAATTACTTTAAAAAAATTAAATCTAAATAAAACTCGAAATATATTAATTATATTATATTATATTATATTATATTATATTATATATATATATATCTCACAAATAGACACCTCACACAAGAAAATATAAAAACTTTTTCTATATATTAAAGATTGAGAAATTTATGCAGGAAAAGATTGACAAAGCACACTGATTTTATATGTTCTTCTATTTCATCTTCTACAAGATAAGAAAAGAAAAGAATCTTAATTAACAACAAAACTAGAGCGATCCTGGCCACTTTTAACCTCTTGGGTTCCATCATCCCTTCAACTTTTCCCTATTGCTATGATCTGGCCATAGCCAATGGGTCACAATGACCTATTGTCTTTCTGCAAATTCACTTGAATAAATGCACCCACCCTTTTGGCAAACATCCCAATCCAATTTTTTTTACATAAAGTTTCCCAATCCACAATGTGGCTTGCCCTTGCTATGTAAGTTGCATGTAAACAAGATCTGCACAATGCTGTGTTGCATAGATAATTTGCTGTACCCATTTGTTATGTGAACAGAAGTTTGTAAATATTTAAGAATAGAAAATTGCATGAGGATGTTTTGGAAGACATTAATTTTATGAACATGTCAAAAAAAAAAAAAAAAAGACCATCGATATTAAAAGTCGATTTGGCAAATTAAACGTTCTTTCATTAAAATGTCAATGAGTCAATCAGATATTATGAATGAATAAGAGAGCATCTCCATTTTAAAATTATTTGATAATGTTATGTAATAAGTAAAGGGATGTCCAAAACAATGGCAATTCAATCTAAGCTTGATATTACCACTCAAATTCTCTAGAAGGTCATTTAAACGTCCTGGAGTTTCTATCTGTTATTACAAGAGATCACAACGCTAATTAATCTTTCAATCAAATGATTAAAAAAATACAAAAAAAAAAATAAAATTGAAGTGTATGGTCATGTTCAATTAATCTTATTAAAGAAAAGTAACATCATAACCCTCTATAATAGGGGAATAGAATGGCTCTTACTTATAAAATTATAATTCAATCATGATTATTATATATTTGAGATATTTTCTTCCACAACACTAACCCTTTAGCCAAGGGTGTGGATTGTGCTTTCTTTAAGAGGCAGATTCCCATAGACGACATCATTGTTGTTGCTATAATTGTTGGATTCCTCTGGTATGAAATATTTTTTTTTGTTTTAGGGCCTAATAACATTGTCTCTCCCATAGTTTTATTCTCTCGCAGATTTTGATATTTGATTTTGAAATGATCAAGTAATATTATTTTTTTATAAGATTTTTTTATTATACTTATTAATATCAAGATATATGTATAAAAAATATATAATAAAAAATGAGTATATAAAATTATAAAACAAAATTATTATTATAACAAATGTTAAAAAATAACATAACTTTTAAATTAATAGTTGAATTACCAATTACACAATCTTTCAATGAAATATGAAAGTTTTTATTTTTATTTTTTTGATAGTTTAAATATGAAATAAAAAAGCAAATAAATCAATATTTTTTTTATTGGCATAAATCTATGGAATGATTGTTAAAAAATTATACAAACAAGAAAATAAATATATTTTAAAAATGAAGAAAATTTTGAGATTCAAAATCAATAGTGTTTTTTTAACTTTTTAAAGTGGTTCTTATATGATTTTTACGTTAAAAAATTTTGCAAGACAATATGATAAAGATCTAGAGTAATTAAAAATGAAATATGATAAAAATGAGAAAAATTATAATTAGCTAAAAAAAGGAAAAAAAAAATCAACAGTCATGTTCTTGGAGAAAAACACAATTAATACTTGGTTGAAAAGTTAATATTGATAAAAAAAATCTAGAAATTTAAAATAAATTACAAAAGTCTTGATTTTAAAGATTTTTGAATAATAATTAGTGGATACAATAAAGAGATACATAGTAATGTAATTTTAATCTCTTTGAATTGCAATGCACAATATTAAATTATGAAACCATTAAAAAATTAAAAAATATTAATATTTTTAGTTTGAGGAACCAATTTAAATTATTGAACCAAATATGCATACATATAAAAGGTTTCCCAATATTTTTGAGAGTCAAGGTCCCCTCCAGCGCACGTTACGGTCCGCCATCAGTTTTATCCTTTAAGGAAAAAAAAAAAAAAAACACTTCAATTGAGAAAGAGTGACTATTATTTTTAAAACTACAATCCAATGCTTACTTATTAGATATGCGATTGCTTTCCCCTTAACAAGAATAAAAGAGTTTTCTTTAATAAAAAAAAATTGTAAGGTAGTGGTTGGTATCATTTTCAAAATTATTGTAATGATTTAATTATCATGATGATAAAATCACCAAGATGATTTGACCACCGATAATCTTGGATTAGCATATTTGATGCAATATCATAAATCGCTAGTAATCTTAAATCATTGTATTTGATATTATTTGAAAATAAAGTTATTAAGTACAAAATATCTAAAATAACTTTATAAAATTTTTTTAATATGTATTCAATAAATAATTTATAAAATAATGATATATCATTTTATAGAAAATTATTAAATATAAACCATTTTTTATAAAATAAATTTTCAAAAACATTACGAAACAAATGCATTATCTTTTTTAGTAGTAGTTACAAAAAAATGTAAGTTATAAAATGAATTAAGCCAAATAACTAAAACTTGATTACTCATTTCATTAAAAAAATCAATTCTTACTAAAAGAGAAATAATTTCATTGAATTTTCATGAATAAATATAACTTATTAAGTCTTTTCTATGTAGATTAAAAAAAAATCTTAATAATATATGCCTAAAGGATGGCTCCATGTTATAATTTCAATATTATAGAACTCATAATATATTGTTAATCTTAATTATATATACTAAAAGACATGAATCATACTTGTAGATATCTCGATTTGTCCAAAAAAATTTTTGAGATCAAAATAGGTTTTGATCACGAATTAGGTCTTAATATGAAAATTTTAGGTCCAAGGGTCAAAAGCCCAAGAGTTTTAATTTAATTTTAATTTTGATTTTCAATTTTAATTTTAATTTTAATTTTGATTTTGGTTATTAATTTTAATTTTAGTTGATCAAAGTCAAAGTCTAAGAAAAAAAGGTCAAAAAGTATAAAAAAAAGTCAAAAATAAAAAAAAAGAAAAGAAAAATGTGTGAATTGTTTTCATTGAAGATTTGGGATTCGATTCTAGGACTTAATGAATGAATAATTTTGGAAAGCTTGATACCTAATTCATGTAAAAAGGGAAAGATCACATAAAAGATTGAATCTCACAAGAAGTCTTAGATTTGGTAGGACTTAGAAATTTCTATAATTAAAGGGATTAAATCCTTATATAAAGACTCTTTATCTATAATCACAAACACACAACAAGCAATCGATAATAAAAAGCAATTATCAAGCAATCAAAGCATAAAATTTTTTCTAGGTTTCTAGTTCTAATAATTGAGGTTTCAATTTCTAGGTTTGGATTTTTTTTTTTTTTTGAAATTTGGTGTGTTAATTTGTTCTAGGAACTAGAATTTTTGTTTTTGATTCTAGGTTTTATGGTGATTGCTAGGATTTTGGGTTTTTAGATTGGATTTTGTTTTTTGTTTTGAATTTCTCGAGTGGTTTTGGAATTTTGGAGTTTTGGACTTTTAATTTTTGGAATTTTGGTTTTTTTCTTGGCTTTGGATGAATTTGTTTGAATTTTTGGGTTTGAGTTTGAATTTTTTAATGAGGTTTGAGTTTTTCAACTAAGTACACGGCGGTTGGGGGGAATTCACAGTGACCTATTTTTGGGATTTTTTTAGCTTTCTAGGTTTTCTTTGAATTTTTCGACAACCGTTTAAATCTTTTAATGTCGAATTATGCAATTTTGGCCAATTTATGAAATCGCTTGAACTTAACGGTGGGCTTTTTTTTAGAAAAAAGGCAAAGGAAAGAGGTTTAGACAGAGAAACAGAAAGGTGATTCTAAAGAAAACATTTAAAACTTGGCTTTTATAATGGCATGAAAGGACATTGTTTTTGGAACCAAGGATCCATGTGTAACTCGATTGCCTGCATGTCGACCCACATTGAAACCTAACTTGGATCATAGGTTTTTTCTTTTCTTTTTCTTTTTCTTTTTCTTTTTCTATTTTGATTTTATTTTCTAGTTTTTTTTGTTTTATTTTTCTATTTTTTTATTTTATTTTTAGTTGTTTATTATGTTCTGTTTTTTATTGTTTATTAATTTAATTGTGTGATTGAATTAAAGTGATGAGAAAAAGAAAAAGAAAAAAATTGGTAAGATTTTATAGTTTATTTGCATGATATTTTTATTTTTT